CTGGCTTCCCATTGAAGTCCGGGCCCAATTCAAGGTGTTGGTGATTACTTATAAAGCCCTAAACAGCTTGGGTCCTGGTTACCTGAAGGAGCGCTTACATCCATATATGCCCGCCCGCCCCTTGAGATCTGCGGGAGAGGCCCTTCTCTGGGAACCCTCTGTGAAAGAAATTAGGAGGGTAGGTATTCGGAGGAGGGCTTTCTCTGTGGTGGCGCCCAATCTATGGAATGCGCTCCCCAGAGAGGTCCGCCTGGCACCGTCGTTATTTGTTTTTCAGCGCCAGACGAAGACCTTTTTATTTAAGCGTCATTTTAATTGTTAATATTATGCTTATTTTATCTGGCCAGGGCAACTTATTTTATATTTTGTATTTTTTATTTATTTTATATTGTTAATTTTAATTTTATATTGTTATTTTTGTATTTTATTGTGTTGTAAGCCGCCCTGAGGCTTCGGCAAGGGGCAGTATAGAAATGTTCTAATAAATAAATAAATAAAAATAAATTTTCTCTTATCCAGTCATTCTTCACTATTTCTACAAATCCTACAGTCTATATGCGATCACAATATATGTATGTGTATTTTTATTTATTTATTTGTTATATTTATTTCACACCCTTTTTCCTTTCAGGAGCTCAAGGCAGTTTACATAATTCTTTTCCTCCTCTCAATCATATACTCATAACAACAACTCTGTGAGGTAGGCTGGACTGAGAGTCTGTGACTGGCCCAAAGTCACCCAGTTGGCTCCATGGCTAAGTGGGGACTAGAACTCAGGTTGCCTCAGTCCTACCTTCTTAACCACTACACCACAATGGTAATGCTTTCTACATGCATTAGAAACTACATGCATTAGTTCTAAACTCAGATATGAATATGCATATAGATAAATATAATCAGAAGCTATTCACAGCCTTTTCACTTAAATAAATACTCTAAATTTCAGTATATAGGTACCTTCAAAACTGGATATAATTCATAATCACTCAGAATAAGCTCCCAGTTGTCAACTTCTAGATTTTGCAGTGCTGCTTTCCATACAAAAATATTGTCTTCTTTTTCAAGGTACTTAGTTAAACACAGTGGCACACCATACTTAGTGTAATTATACCTATTTAAAAAAATCATACATAAGCACATTCAAATATATGGCCAGACAGATGTGCACGTGCAAACACACACATGCATGCACTAATGGAAGACAGAAAGATACTGAAATGAATAGATCATAACAGTAGGCAAGAAAAAGGCAAGCTCCTGAAATAGTTTTAAGCAGAGCTCACAAATGAGTACTTTGCTTACAGAATGGAAGGATTCTGTCTTGCATTGAAAAATGCATCACCATCTCTACCTAAGAATTAACCTTACTGAGAAAAATAAAAAAACTATAAATGGAAAATGCTAGGTGGTCTAACAGCTCTATTTAGGTACTGTCCATTTCTATTCCAAAACTTTTCATGTATTAAGTATGAGAAAATTTTCAGAACTGATACAAAGTAAATGAAACCCTAAATATGTATCTGCAATAGCTAAAATACACAGAATTTTGATCAGAACCAGGGTATTAAAGGAAAAGCAGAAATAGAAGAGAGACAAGGAAAGCAGAGTTTGAAAAATGCAGACATTTCAGAGATATGGCAAAGACCTGCAGTTCAGATTAGTTAGGGTAGCGCCATATATTTATTTATTATATTTATTTAGAATGTTTGTATGCTGTCCCATCGCCTGAGCCTCGGGACGGCTTACATAAAATCAATAAACAAAATACAAATAGTGAATAAACAAAATACAATACACGTCATAGTGGCAGCTAAGATCAGTACAATGGGAGAAGCAGCTTCCCAATTGAAGGATCTGCATACAACAGTAAAGAGAGCAAATCATTTCTGCATTGTGCCACATCCAATAGAGCTTAACTCTAAAGTGGTTGGCATGCAACTAGTGAAACTACAACTCCATATGGAAGGTCTTGCTGAATCAGTTGCAGCAGGCAGCAAGATATACTCACGGTTGAAAGGCTACTCACTGGTGACATTCCAGGTAGGTCATTTAGAGAAGAAGCGAGTTGAGCTGGAAGCAAAGATCAGGAAACAGACTGAGGCTGGAGAAGGCAGGCTTGGTGAACTGAGCTCAGAACCAAAGCAGAGAGAGCAGGACCAAGACATAAGCTAGAGGCAGAGCAAAAGGTATGTATTTGGAGTGCAAGATCAAAGATGTCTGGAAGAACAACTCATGCAATGACAAGAATCTGACTTGGACTAAAGTCCTAAATACACTTACTAGAGACTCAGATCCACTGAGCTAACTGGGACTTAGTTTTTCATAAGGATTGCACTGCACTACTGCAATCTCACATAGACCGGAAAACAGTAGGTCCACTGAAGTTAGAGTACCTTTGAGTAAGCAATTTAGAAATGTCCTTTAAACTGTGGACTGGTCACAAACATACTCACACTTAGAGCAGATCAACTGAAATCAACAGAACTTGGATTTGTCATGACTAACTTGTTCCACGATTTCAACAGATCTACTCTTAAGCATGAATAAGCCTGGATTCAACCATACATCTTTCTGAGTAGGTCCATTTAGCATCATTAGTGTACACTGATCTATTTTCAAAGCTGAACGGGAGAGAAGAAACCAATATGGGCCAAGGAAGTCAAATGTTTAATATTAGCCTGAATCCTATTAAGCCCAGAATGTAAATCATTGTTTTATTTAGAACAAACCTTTCCCAGCTGAAAAGAATTTCCAATGAAAAAAAATCAGCTAATTCTCCTGACAACCTACTGCAATACTGCATTAGCACATGTTTGCTTGTTCTCTACACGAGCTCCCCTGTCTCTTCATGCATTTACACTGGTTCTGGATCTGCACTGAGATAGCTGATAAGGTTATTCCAAAGAGTTGTGGGATTAGCCCAAGCAACATGTATGAACTACTATCAAATCCACCCCCATGTCTCCTTCAGCCAACCTGGGCTAATCTAAGTCATCAAAGGATCCAAAGAATGTGACACAAGGTGCCACTCTGTACTCCCAAAGCAAAGCTGGTATAAAGAGAAGATGCAAAGAATAGGATATCAATACTGTTCATGAAAAGGAGACAGATGTAAAAGACAATACTGAGGTCAGTTATCTAGCAAAAGCTACCTATAAAAGAGGTACTTACCTTCTCAGCTCAAAAGCATCACTAATCAACTGTAACCTGTTGACAACAGGAATCACCTGTAAAGAGGATGTATGTGTTTAATGGTTCAAAGTGTCTCATTAAAAAGCACAATGGCCACTGTCTTTCAAGATATTCATAAGCATCCCCAATGCTTCAAGTCAAACATTTTAATTATGATTTGTAATATGTATAATATTTATATCCTGCCTTCAAGGCAGCTTGCATAATTTTCTTCCCCTTCCCTTTGCTTTTATTGTGCAATGCAAATACAAAATGAAACCATGCCATTAATGAATCAAAACATTAGAACAGAATAAAATTTAACAAGATCCATAGTGCTATATATATACATACATATTATATATTGCCATGTATTAGTTATACATACATGTCAACAAAGGCACCCCGAATAGCCATATATTTATGTATTTGTAGATTACACCTAAAGACAAGCCATTCAAAAATCAAGAGTTTCATTAAATCCTCCATGCATTGTATTATTGCAAGGGGCATTAATCATTTCAATATTATAATATTAGTCTTTTAGCTGTGAAAAAGATGCAAAAATCCATTTAAGTTGGCCTTGTATTAAACTCCAAGAGATGGCTAGGGAATTCAAAAGAACCTGTGTATCCTTAAATATTAAAGAACTTTCCATCACCATATTAATCCAAATTATTACCTCTTCCCAAAAGGAAGCTGCCATTGGATATTCCCAAAACATATGAAGAAGAGAAGTATTAGCAGCACTTCTCCAACAATTGGCCAATTTAATTAAGCCCTTATCAAAGAGATGTTATGACGTTTTAAAATAAATAAATAAATAATAGCTATTATACTAAAAACATCAATTTTTGCTGAATTGAGTATAGCCTAAGATCCATGACCCCTTCCAAAATTGATAATAATGAAGTACTCCACTTACTGGGCAAGAGGTGCTCTAGTTTATTATTCCATTGTTGGTTGAGACCCTGTGTATCATATTTATTATCTGATAATAGATATTTGAATATTTGAATTGCAGGCGGATGCAGCTGGTTGGCCTTGATCAATACCTCCAATAACACAGGCAGCTCTGAAGCTGTAAAAACTGCAGAATCAAACTCACCTTCTAATAAATGGTTTAACTGCATAGATTACCATGCAGCCAAAGACAGCAATTTATATTTAACATACAAAGCAGAAAATGGTAAAAAATATATCAGGCCTCACAAGTTTATCCAAAGTAAAATTCAATCTGTTTGTCCAACAAACAAAATTGGTAATTTTTAAATCCAGATTGTCCCGTGAAATTAATTTTGCATGAGAAAATAAGGGCAACTACTACCACAAACTGGCACATTATCTGTTTTGGGATGAGGAGAGCCTAATGCAATCTACTTGAGAAGATGACCCAGAAATGAAGATTCCAAAATTGACCAAGGAGAAGAGTCTTATTTAAATGGAAAGGACTAAAATCTAGTGCAAGTAAATAAATAGGACAATGGTATAAGAAAAGGTTGGCAGGGGAATCCACCCTCTTTAATGAAAAGCTGTATCCTTTTCAAGGATATTCATGATGGAATGGAACCCCATAAACATTTATGAAAGACACTAAGCTTCTGGAAATACTTGGCAGGCATAAACAAACACCCTGTAAAACATGAACTGTTCGAAGTATTACATTCATTTTAACTATACCTACCCAACCCCGTATATTTAACTTTATAAATGCTCATCTGCCAATGTCTGTTGAGATCTCATTAATCAATTCACCCAAATTTAACTTAATAATTTGTGATACATCTCTTAGGACAGGTATTTCCAAATAAGTAAGAATCTCAGCACAAAGTCTAAACTGCCAATAAGAAACAACCTATGGGATGCATTGCCTCCAAAAGACATGAATTCTGACTTTGATTAATACAATAACCAGATAAATGTCCAAAGTCATCAACTGACTGCATTAAAGCTGGAACAGATAGCTGGAGTGCCAAAATTGAGAAGAGAATAAGATAATATGTTTAGATACTAATGCATTGTGTGCAAATCCATTAATATTTGATTTGTCAAATAGTACACACTAAGAGTTCCAAAAATAAATCAATTATCAATGAAGAAAGAGGACACTTCTCTCTAGTATCTTTTTCAAGTAAAAAATAAAACCTTAGGCAAGATTCCACTGGTCCTGTTTCATATAAAATTCTAGCCCATTTCTAAAATTCTGGAAAAAAAAACAGAGTTTCTCAATGGGGCAAAGATAAATTGCCAATAAATTTATCAAGAGCTTTCTCTGCATCCAAAGAAATAATGGCAGGTGTATCTGTGCTAGTCTTTTTAATGCAATCAGATCCACAACCATTCTATAATTATCAGCCTCCAGCCTATTTTTAATGAGTCCCACCTGAAGTTGGACTAACACTACAATAACCTGTAGTCTGTTAGTCAAAATTAAAGCTAACATTTTAATATCAAGGTTAATCAACAAAATGGGTTGGTAATTAGCAAAGAGGGTATGATCTCTACAATATATGCATCACTGAGTGCTGAAAAAAGAAAAAGTAATTCAAATATTGAATTGTATAAATGATACAGTTTGGGAACTAGGAGGATAGAAAACATTGTATATTACTTAATTGGATCAGGTACTTTTCCTGTTTTGTTAGTTATTATGTTCATAATTTCATCAATCTGCAAATGCACCATTAAAAACTTTGTAAAGGATTTAGACATAGACCTCTCCCATTCAGTCTCTTGTCAGCTGCTAAGTATCTTGTCTGCTGCCATCAGATATGCAATTCAAGATGAATGTAAAAAAAGTATGAAAAGTTCCTCATTTGAAAATCAGATATTTTCAATTATATGCTTGCAGCCTCTTCCCTTTTACATCTTTTCTTAATGAGCATACCAACACTGCTAGGACTTTTCCAGAGCTGACATTAGATGTAGCCATGGCTTATTACATAGAGAAATATTTGTATACTGCCTTCAGATTGACTCTTCTATCTTCTCCATATATCAGCCAGATCTATATTAAAGGCTACTTGCTCAACCTTCCTTGCTCTACTTTCATCCTCTGTTCCCTAAAACACTTCTATAGAAATTACATTACCTTTGGGTCACTGTCAAGCATTCTGGCCAATCTTCTCCAGTACATTTCATCATAATTAACTCTATAGTAACCAGTCATGTTCACATTTAAAACAATCCAATCATGTTCTGATAGTTTCATTTCTGGAAATATTTCTGTGAACAGCACGAAGAGGAAAAAGTTGGCATCTGGAATCTATTTAGGCATCCTGGTTACAAGAAAAGGCTGAAAGTGGAACTGTTACCTTTTTTATGGCAGAAACTCAAATCAAATCTCATATATAATGACAGTGCATCCTTAAACAGCAAGCTATTCCGCACTTCTGACTGAATTCAAGGAAATGAAAACAACCCTGCTTCCGGTAAGTTTGGATAAAACCTCACTGGATTTCAAAGACATACAAGGTCAATATTATACTAGAGTCTGCACACTGTAGAATTCAACAGTATCATACATTTTAATATCTGAATGTAACTGTAAAGCATCCAAAGCACTACTTTACTGTACATTAAGCTGCAACAATTTTGGTCACCATGGTATGAGCAATAGCATTCCCTGGTTAGCATGATGAACAATAGCCTCCCTTCCTACTCTTAAGGCGCAGAGGTAGCAAGGAAGAAAGCAGGGATTATCTGGCATTTTGAAAGTGACTCCCACACCCTCCCTAGTTCCAAAATAGGAAGAAAGACTGCTGGGTGTTGGCAGCTTCAGTTTACACTGGTGGGATTTGAAAAAACTAAGGAGTGGGCATAATCACAAACAATATAATCTGCCCCATATTACAATTTCCAAGTGACACTGCAGAATGCATATGCACAACAACTGCAAGCAAGTTTGGAAAACTAAAAAACAAACAAACTTATTTTTCTAAGTATTCTCTATTAAATCTTATTATTGCAACACAATGCCCCTGTTCAGGGTTCCACTTACCATGCCCTCTTCCAGGTACTCCATTCTATTCTCCTTCCCTCCAGTTTCCTTTCCCTGCCATTATCAAAAGTTATTCCACCTTTCATGGTCCCACTGGGCATGGGGAGTACACTATCCAATTAGTGTTGCATTTTTGTGCTTCTGCAAATAATGTGGTTTCTCAAGCATGTGGATATTCACTTAAATAATTATACACATTTGGGCTTTAAAATGTTTCTTACAAATACATAAGATTGCATACTGCAAACAACAGACAAAGGAAAAATACTTACTGCTGCTCTTATCAAGCCACACTAAAGGCTGAATAGTTCCATTTTTTATCCAAGAAATAGGAATAATCCACGTCTTACTTTATTAAAAACAAAAATGGATAATTATTTCTTAAACTTAAGAGAAATAAAATGTCAACTTATATTTCAGAAATGTTTTCTAGAAAACCTCTCAGCCTTTTCTTTGAGATGCTTTATAATCTTAAATGTGCAATTCAAACTACATCAGTACCTAAAGAATAGGCATCTTAATAATAATTGAGAGAAGCTGGAGATGATCAGTTAAACCCTGAGTTTTTGTGTGTGTTTGAATCCAATTGATTTCATTCGGATTCAAGTTTCATCAACATTCTCTAGAAACTATCCAACAATCACACTTTCAATATGCATGGTAGTGCTGGAAGGCCAGGGCTCTAACTGCACGTGACAATTGTATGTATGTATGCATGTATCACATCTGTTTGCCGCCCCATAGCCAAATTTGGGAAAATATCACTGAATATATAGGCATCTCAGCGAAAGCCTATCAGATATACCAAAGCCCACGGCCTTGACTAATTCAGCGAAAAGATGGTATACAAGGCATCTTTCACTGACTGATGCAAACTGCTTTCTAATACACACAGAGAGACATACACAGAGGTTTGCATCACTGAACTGAAAGTGCAGCTGTATCTTTGGGGCTGTGATGTCATGCTTTGATTGAAAGAGGACAGGTGTGCTTAATAATACTTACTTATCTCCAGTTTTTACCTATTACATGAAACCAAGGTCTGGTGAAATTCATGGCATACCCCAGCCCAGCAAAGGGGATGTTGCAGTTCAGCTATGAGCCATGTGCAGTGGCTTTCCAGTTGTTAGCTATGGAAAGTGAAGGTTCTAGGACACTTGACACTGATAACTCACTATGCACACAAAACTAACTCAACCCAGTTGAGATGACCCTCCAAACCATTGCTTAGTGGATAAGAATGAGTGATCAGGGCCATGTGTTTTCCTCCCTATTCATACAATGCTTCATTTTCAGTTTCTTGTTTGACGTAAATCATTATTTGCTATGATACCCAATGTGGATTTCTAAGTCTGATTTGGTGGGCAAGCATCAACCATGGCTCTCATATTTGGAAGTCAATGTAAATTATGGACTTTAATTAAAAGAGAGAATTGACTAAACTTGGTTAAATCAATTTTTACAATTCTAACTTCCATATTAATACAAATGTTTTTTTCTAAACTAAGCATATATGTATGAAAAAAGACATACTTTGTACTTTTTTTTCCTTCATCCATGAAAAATATGTCCTGACTGATGTTCCCGGAGGAGAAATTTACTGTTAGGAGAGGGAAGCCATTTTGGCAGGTCCAAGAGTCCATTATAACTTTTACTGATGCTGGCAATTGGAGGTCATTCTGTTCATCTACTGTCTTCAAGAAAAGTTATAATTAGAATAGAGTTTACCTTATATAATGTTATCTCTGAACTTATATTGACATCAAGTATTTCAGATACCATGAGCCAGTACATATCGGTGTAATCCCAGCTTCTCTGGATGTCTCACCAAGGGGAAAACTCAGTGCATTTGACAGATCCCTGGCCCCAAACAATAGCCAGAACTCTAACAGAGAACAAAAGGAGTCAACTGGTTTAGAAGGATCAGCAGAGTAAGCCATAAAAGTTGGGATTTCAGACACAGGCCCCAACACAGAGTCTAAGCCAATGCCCTGTATCATCCAGAAGTCCTTTAAACCAGAACCTCTTGAACAGGAACCTCCAGAGACAGGACCTCCTGAAGTATATTAAGCTGAGGAGCTTGTCCCTGTCTTCCTGTTGAATCAAGCTCCCTAGAGCTTCTTGTTAGTACTGGAAACATACCAAGAGAAGACAAGAAAAGAGTGCTAAGCTTCAGGACTGCAGACTCCCTCTTTAAGGCTTTTTACTTTTCAGAAGGGGCCTGAGCTCTGAAAGGGTAGCTTGCTCATCAGCACCAGACTTTATCAGAATAAGTTGGCTGACGGAAACTATCCAATGTCCCAAAACACCATCTTCACATAACTTCTAGGCCTGCAGCATGCAAGGAGAAGTTTAACCAAACGGAACTTTATTTTAAGCTTCATAACAGCAGGAAAGGGGTGTGTGTGTGTGTGTGTCAATTTTTGTTGGAATCATTGCTGCTGTCTCAATGAAAATCAGTCTCACTAATATTAAGTAAAGTAAATCCAGTGGCATAGTTGCTAATTATGCATTAAAACTAACATGTTGGTGTGGCTCAGAGACAGCAAGCATACCTTTTGGACTTCCAAATGATTACAAGGTTATAACTGAATAATATCAGTTTAATTTTTATGCACTCCTTGATGACCTACTCATACTTCTTTTTGCATATCTTAAGGGCATAGTTCCTCAAATGCCAATTCAACTCTTACAAGTGGCCCAGGTGGCCATCAGTTTTAGTTAGAATAAAGGGTAAGCCACCTTCAATTGTTGATTGATGTCTTCAGTGGTGACATGAAGGCCCAGAAAAAAAATGGAAAAAAAATCAGAAACATTTTTTCTGAATTTTTCCAGTTTTATTATGGCCTTCACATATCTAAGCTTAGGGTCTGAGATGTGGGTATTATGGCTGAACTTACTAACAGGATAACAGCTAGAGAAGAGAGGTTAATAAAGGATTTTTTATTATTAGGCCAAAAAAGCTCAGGACTCATTAAAACTCCTTTATTTGGGAGGAGAATGATTATATATTGGGTTTCATATAAAATGGGTTGTGTTTATATTAAGACTGCCTTTAATTCATCACTATCTTTAATAGGAAATGTGAGCATTATGAGCAGCAGTACTGGGTGTGATATCACAGTGTGTTATGCAAATAATTAAAATACATGTAAAGGAGAGGAGAGGAGAGGCTAGGCTGACCCTAAGGTATCCTAGAGTAACCATCACGTCCACTGGAACGCCATTTGTATACTGCTCATGTAAGTTGACCATCGGAACTAATCTCACTGCAAGGCAGTGAAGACTTTTTCCTAGCTATTTGAGAGTCAGGAAGGATTGCGGGCAATGTGGAAATCAGCTGAGAAGCTGCATTTAACTGCTAGGGGCAGCTGGGCCAGGAAACATTATCCCAGGGCTCAGCCAGGTGCCTGGAAACTGAGAATGGGAGGAAGAGGCAGAAAGCTAGTCCTGCATCATCATCGCCCCCCCACCCCCACCACTACCTTGCATTTATGGCCTGCTTTTCTTCCTCTTGCAAGGAACCAAAGGCAACATACAAGGTTCTCTTTCTCTCCTTACAACAACAGCCCTGTGAAGTAGGTTAGTCTGAGCAGCAGCAACTGCCCAAAGCCATACAGTGTCCAAAAATCTTAACCATTATGCTATACTAGCTATCTCCTTTCCACTTGTTTCGGAGAAGAACAGGGGGCCCAAGATGCCTTGCAAGCAAGCCAAAGAGATCGTGGAGTAAAATGCAATCCTTTGATAGCGCTGAACAAATTCTGAGATTGCTGAACCAAAGCCCTTTTACTGCCCATTGTTATAGTAAGTATAGTATAGTATAGTATAGTATAGTATAGTATAGTATAGTATAGTAAGGGAGCTAGCAAACAATTGCAAGTTTTAAGCACCTTTTGAATGTGATTCCATAGGTCATCCTGGAAAGCATTTGAAAAGGCAAATGCACTCAAGTAGGACTGTGGGGGGAAAAGGCAACATTATTCTCATTGACAAGACATTAAAAAAAACAAAAGTCATAATTCAAATATTCAGTAAGCTAACTGTTGGTATAGCTTCTTAAACTTACATTTAATGCTTTTAAAAACAGTCTTTCTGTCAAAAAGCTGGAAAACATCCTGATGATGGCAGCCCCCTAAGAGATATGTATTTTTGTAAGGATAAGAACTTTATTAGTTATGCAAGTCATGTAATTATTAATATGGCATTCAGTGTTTTCTTATTAAACTATAGGTTGACTACATTATATATTATGCATTATATATTATATATTAGTTTCCTTCCAAACTATTCCCCATACTCTTACTTTTTATGCATAAGTGATTACACTCGGCAAACGATCACACTCAAGGTGGTAACTCTCCTCTTTTCCTCTCAGTCCCCCAGATGGTTACCCTGGAGACGCCTTGAGCCACAAGACTTAGCTGACTCTCCTGCTGCTCCCTCCATGCCCACCAAAGTGACGGGAATCAGCTGGGTGGAGTGCCTGGTTGGGGCGGCAGCACCAGGCTGATTCTCCTGTTTGTTCCTCATTCTTGCTCCCAGTTGTGAGAGAGGGACCCCCAGCCTGGCACCCACACAATCACCTTTTTTGGAAGTGGAAGCAATGAGGGGAAGGCAGCACTTGTCACCCTCTCATTCCCACTGATTATTATTATTGTTTAAAATTTTTGTATCCCGCCCTTCACAGAGTCTCAGGGCGTCGGTAACATAAATAAATAAGACAGAGCATCACAATAATATATGATATCAACGTTAAAAACAATGTTAACATTTAAAATGTTGGGAAAATAAAAAGGTTTTGGCCTGGCACCGAAGAAGCACCAGAGAAGCACCCCAAACCTTCACAGGTGCCAGGATGCAGACAACTCTCTGGCAAGCAGGAGATGGGGAACAGTGGTGAAATCAGCTGAGCTGTGCAGCCCCCAGCTCAGTACCACTGCCCAGCTGATTCTTGCCCCCTGCATGTATGCATGTGAGGCGATCAGTGGAGCAGCGCTGTTCCTTTCCCAGTACCAAGCAGCTGATTGCCCAGTCCTGTGCTAAAGAAGATCTTCAAGGCAGGAAGCAGGCAGAGTAGGGATGTCTCTAACAGCTGGACAAAGCACCAACTAACCGTGGCACTCTCTGATTAGCTTCTTGGCAGGAGGGGCAATGGGCAGTGGTTCCGGCCTTGGTGACACAATAAATGGTGTTTTCTGGATTTAGACAACACAACAAGCTATTGTAGTGCCAAAAAACCACAGAATGGACTGTTTTTCTGTTTCTAAAAACCAAATGTACCATACTAAGATACCATGGTGGGGTCTGTACAACATGACAGAGCAATAGTGATCAAAAACTACAGTGGCTTTTCATTTCGTGTGCACCTGCCTATTATTTTAAATTTTAAATATCTGTTTCCTTAGTAGCAGACAAAATATCTACCATGCAAAAATACAGTGTGGCATTTAAAATGAAATTATATGTGGTTATTTGAGGACAAGCACAAAATGCTTTATTCAGGGCAGGGACATGCACTCAGACTAAAATTATTAAGGAATATTTCACAATGTATACAAAATGCAGAAGTGAAATTTCTCATGTTTCTAAAACAGTGTAAAGGTCAGAAATGATGCTGCAGAGAATAAAAAAGGCACTTGTGGCATCACATCTGAAATTTGCTAATGGCATTTGGAAATCTTATGCTGTAGAATTTCTTCTCTATAATTCCAGATGTTTGGCATATGTTCTGCTTCTTCAGCAGGGAGAACATGTGTTTTATATGTGCTCTGACCTCCCTATTGAGCAATTCAAAAACTTCATTATATTTCAATCTGCGTGCATGATTCCCTCTCATCTTCTATCAACAGGAAAAGGAAATCAGTTTTCCACTTCTCCTTTGGAAGAAGTGGAAAACTGATGTCCATACTTTGGAAATGAGATTCATTATATGAATCGCATTTCTATAGACATTAGTCCTGACTTGCTCCTCTCTTTCTACGTTGATTAGTACCCCTTCTCCTAAAACTTTATTCACTGGAACAGAAGCAGATTCCCTTTTTTCTCACATTACACAGTAAGTGTTGTTGCCCTGCCACCCCATTTCAAATAACATACAGAGTATTCTTGGACAATTATGTATTGAAAAAGCTTTATTTGCTGATTTTACCTTCTTATATGTTACTTGACCAAAGAGTTCTTGTATTGTTGTTGTATCACGATCTGCATCTGTATCTGATAAAGTCTGTTGTTCCATTCCACTATCTATCAGCAATGTTATTAACGTAACTTCAGAGGTAAAGATTTGGTCCTGAAAATAACCATAAATTATCAATATTTAACTAAAACAAGACTACCTTTCATGTTACTGCTAGGATATTATTAATTCATGGATAAGTTTTGGTTTTGTTCATTTTCTATAAAAAGCTTTTAATTGCATTCATATATGGTTCAAGGAAATCTGTCAATCTTGAAATTCTATCCCAAAAACCAGGGTAATTACAGAAATTTCAGCAAACTATGGCATCACATGCTAACTTTATTTGCCATCCGTGCTATAGAATCACCATGGATTAGTAACATTTATCAAGAATATCAGTGCAGAAATAGCAACAAGACATCGCTGCAGCAGAGGGCATCACTAGGATATAGCTTAGGCAAAAGGTAGGGCACCATGAGTAGTGGTTGCTGGATTTGGGGCACCCACTGAATTGAGGAATTTCCAAGCTTCTGACAGAGAAATGTGGCAGTAATGGGTTAGCCCTCACAGTAAGCAGATGCAGTAGTAAGATGAGATGTCATGAGTTCAGTCTGTAGACAGACATTCATGAGAACAGGCAAGTCAGCATTGGCAAAAATAGGGAAAAGGCAGGACTAGTCCCAGTTTGATGGGAAAAGCAGGGGGAGAGTAAAAACACCTTGCTGCAGAACACTCAAATGCTGGAGGTACCACATTATAGTTCCCATTAACAACAAGGCACTGGAAACTACACTGTAGTTTTGAGAAAATATATTAGAAAATGGTTCTTTTATTTGATACCTACCAGGGACACTGAGGGGTCAATGTAGTCTGCAGCTAGATACTCTAGATAAACTGCAAATCCCTCATTGAGCCATAAGTCGTTCCACCAGGCCATGGTAACTAGGTTTCCAAACCACTTAAAAGAGAAGAAAAGCATCGTTAAATGCATTTTCATAAAATGCTATTCTATCAACTTGGCAAAAAGAGGAGTTCATGACTTGTATCAGGGATTCCCCGCATGGCACCTGCAGGTAAGTCCACTGTCACCCATGATGGTGTCCCCAGTATGGCACTCACAGGTACCCACAGAACTCCCCCTTTCTATTTAATATACATACATGGATTTGCATGGCTTTTTTTTGTCACAGAACGCACCAGAATGGCGTTCCGGCACCTTTTTTTGACGGATTTTTTCCACAGATTTTTCCAAGTGATTTTGAATCGCCCTGTCGGGAGTAGCAGGTCGGCAGCAAAAATCATTAAAATAGTGCATGTGGGCTGCTTGTGTGTCTGCGCTGATTGTGAGGGCGCTGCTCGGCTTGGGACGCTGCTCGGCTTGGGATTGGTTGTGTGGTCGCGCGCTGAGTGCTTACTGCCTGCAGCGACCATTATGTTTATGTGTGTGTAGAGTGACTGGCCATGTGCAAAAGGTAAATAAGTTCTTTATTTTAAAAAAAGTTGGTGAATTGAAAATCTTTTTTTAATTTTTAGTGTAAAAGTGTGACCCCAAATTTAAAAATGGAAAAAAAATACTAATTACTTCTCAACCACCAGTCCTGTTAATAAAAGATTAACAAGATGTGAGTTCCGGCACTTTTTTTTAACAAAAAAAGCACTGTGGATTTGTATTTATTCATAGCAATTCATATGTAAGAAATAAAATTCTTCATAGATTTTAATAATATTGGATCATTTGAAGATAGCATCTTTATGCCACCCATTCAGATATTAAAAGTATTGTTTTAATTGCAGTGCATTACAGGAAGTATTTATCCTTCCAGTGTTACAGTATCAGCCTTTTAGCTGTCGAGCATCCATTTATGCTGATCACTGATTAATTTTCATGAATCTGAGGCAATGGATTTCACCTGTTGAATTACAGGTCTATGGAAATTGATACATATAGCACTAATTCTGGCTCTTTTGCATTGGCTGCCTGCATTCTTCTGAGCCTGATTCAAGGTGCAGGTTTTGACCTATAAGGCCCTGTACAGCATGGACCCCAATACCTGACAGAGTCCCTCTCCCCTCCTGAGTTCCTCCCAGACAATACAGTCAGCATCTGAGATCTTCCTCCAAGTGCTACAACTAAGAGGCTCAGAGGGTGGCAAAAGAGAGAAGGCCTTCTAAGTGGTGACCCCGTTTATGGGATTATCTCCTCTCCAAATTCCACCTGGCACCAGTTCTGTAATCATTCCAGCACTACATTAAGACTACCCTACTCTACCAAGCATTTAATGACCATTAAATTCCAATTAGTGACCATTAAGGGTGTTTGATGGCATGATGGGGCATTTGTGTCAGCTGCTTTTAACAGGCTATTTGTACTGGAATTGCTTTTGAATTGTTTGTAAAAGCTGTCTATTGAAAAAAGTTGTTTCTATATTTTCTGTTTTAATTGTGTTTTGTGAATTATTCAGCTCTTGGGTGGTATAAAAATGAAATGAATGAATAAGAGGCTGGGCATAGTATATGGGCACTAATAAATACAAATAATATATAAATGGCTATAAAACATGAAAACTGTCTTTTATCAACAGCATGCTACATGTTTCTTCTACCTGATATGAAAAGTTACACCTGAACATGTTTAAAGGTACCTGGTGATTCTCATAATTTAATTTCATGTTAAATTTCAACAGTGCAGTTACAGTTCATTAGAAAGTGCCAAATTCATTCTAAAGATAAATAAAAGTACAGAACATTTTACCACATGCCTGATGTACTATCTCATGGGAAACAATATGACGAATACTTGTTTTTTGGCTGGTGAATTTTTCTTCTGGGCGAAACAATAATGAAGCTTCCCAAAAAGTTATTAGTCCCCAGTTTTCCATAGCAGCAGCTCCTGTGTCAGGTATTGCAATTAGATCTACATTGGTTAAAATAGAGGGGTGGGGGAAGAGACAGCTTTAAGAACATAATTTTAATATGTTTCCATGGGTACTTCTCTGCTTACCCATAAAGTCCCAAGATTTTCAATGGTTAGAAACAAACAAAATAATTTTTTGGTGTAATTCTCTCCTTTTCTATGATTTACAGTAAACATAGCCTTTAATTACCACTAATACTGCCATTAATATATATCTAATATAAAGAGCCCTACTGAATAAGACCAAAACTCCATCACACACAGCAGCCTCCCACAAACTAGTACCTTGTGTAATATATTTACTACTGTCTCCCTTTTCTATTCTCCATAATGTCCCATAGTGAACATCCTTCCTGGGCATTGGAGGGGAGAGGGGGATAGTAAAGTACCCACCACTCACAAAAAGGGGTATAGAAAATTGAAAGGAAATTCCACAAAGTGCCCTTTTATTCCCGAGAGGGTAAGAAATGAGAATTCTCTAAACTTTTTTGAGAGCAGTGTCTTTTCAGGGAGTTACGTGACTTACTTACTTTATTTATTTTGACCATACCTAATCACAGGTGCCCAAGAATGCTGTGTGTGTATCCTCTTTCTATTAGACATGTAGCCAATTGCTCTACAGCCTTTGATGAAGGGATTTCTTCATGTCGCCTCCTCCCCATATCCCAAGCGGACTTTAACTGAAGTGCAGGAAGCCACAGAGACTTCAGGCTGCCAGAGATGACTGTGCAATCAAAGCCTGGACATTTGTTCACAGTCATTGGCTATCTTGTAATTATGGTAAGCACAAAAACCATGAAGTCATGGGAAATACTCTAAAAGATTGCTTTCCCTTTAATTTCTTTTGGGAAGCAGTTTCTTCCCACAGGATTTGATAGAAAGCAAGTCAGGAACAAACTGAAAAAGCTGTCTCTAACCCTGTTCTGACCGAATGCTCCCCAGTGAGAGCACATGGATTCTCCACACACCACAAAAGGCGATGGAAGCATCAGGAATACTAGAGAGCTGTCTTCATGTTCTGCTGGCATCTCCACTAGGTGCACCTCACACAGACCCCAACTAGCAGGTGCTGTCCCAATGGTGGGTCCCCCTCTTACAGGCACAGTAGCATCCAACAGCTACTCATCTGGCCTTTAAGTGTCATATCCTTCTACTGAACTATATAAGCCAGTGGTTCACAACCTTTCCACAGCTGGGGACCAGCAAAAACAGGAAAACCATCTTGGGGACCGGTGAGGCAGAAACAAAAAGCACCATGCACATAATATGGTATTTTCTGTATTAGTTGCCAAACACAATACCAAAGGAAGGAAGGAAGGAAGGAAGGAAGGAAGGAAGGAAGGAAGGAAGGAAGGAGAAACTTCCACAAAACAATCAGAAACCGAGCAACAAAAAAGGCCAACAAAAGAACAAAATACCCAAATTGGCACTGTGTGGCTCCCAGCCGGCTCCCACCGAGCCATCTCTCCCCTCCCTGCCCGCCCCCGGTGGCACAGGCACTCCCCCCACCCCCAGTGAATGTGATGCCAACCAAGGAAGAGGTGGTGGAGCACAACCAGCCACTGCTCCAATCCACAGTGAGTGGGATGCGCACACGCACCCACACAGGCCAGCGCGAAATCTCCTGTGGAACAGTGCCAGTCCGTGGGGACTGGTGGTTGAAAACCACTGGTATAAGCTACTGCAAACCACATTAAGCAACTTCTTAATAAAAGGCAATAATACAGTTCATATCTTTTAAGATGCAGGCTAAGAAGTCACACCACAATCAACAGGTTTGTTTCTGGGGTTACAAAAATATAGCTTTTTGCTTAATGCTGCTGTTTCTCAATTATTTTCTAAATGAGCAAATCAAACCAGGAAATAACAGGTTAAAGGCATTTTAAAAACAGCATTACACAATTACAAACACCAAGAAATATTGTCAGCATTTAAACATTTTAAGTGTTTTTCAAACGGGCAAACAAGCATACCTGTTTTTGAAAGAGGGTAACTGATGTTAAGCAAGTCTTCCATAAATGAAAATATGGGTCCAGTGATATTTAAAGCATAGTCAGCCAATCCTTCTCGAACTGCATCCTTCATAGCCCAAATGCGTATCTACCAGTGGGCATAGAAATATTTATATCAGACTGTAGCAAAAATATACTGTGAACAGTTTACGGATGAAGTTAACACAGAGATGCCAATTTTGCCCCACACTAGCTAGATAGCATTGCAGGGCAAAAGTGTTGAGTAGGAGGCTGAATCATTTCACCGTCTAATCAACAAGTCTAATCTCAAGAGGTCCACCCTAAACATTAATATACTTGACAATTACAGCCAGGTCACAAATACCCTCTTTTCAGAAAACATTTCTGGGAGAGTTGTGGTGGGGCAATTGCACACATTCTCGGAGGATATTGCTTATCTTGACCTATTCCTGTTTGGGTTTGGGACCGTTTTTTGAGACAGGTATCAGATGGTTCTGGTCATACCTACAGGGTCAGGTGTGGAGTAGTCACTGGAGGCAGGAGGTGCATTGGCCCTCTTACCTTTGTCGTATTGTTCTGTGTACACTATTTAATATCTATATGATGCTGTATGTATGTATTTATTTCTATACCACCCCACAGCCAAAGTTTGCTGTGTGATATCGAAAATTAGGAGATGTGGAGTGAGGTGTCATCAGTACACTGATGCTACCAAGCTCTATTTCTCTGTAACAGCTGGCTCAAGCCTTGGACAGGTGCCCAGATGCAGTGGTGGGGTGGATGACAGCCAACAAACTGAGTCTGAATCCTGGTAAGATAAAGGTTCTGTGGGAGTTAGCTCACACGTTCAGGAACTTGGGTCAGTTGCCTGCTTTTGACAGGATTACATTCCTGGAAAGGAGGTGATGCACAATCCACAGGTGGCCACAGATCTTATGTTGCCACTGCAGGCAGAAGCATCTTCCTGAGGTAGGAGTACCTTGTACTAGCTGCGGAAGTTATGACCGTTCTGGACATTCATGCAAAAGGATAGCTTGACCACTGAGGTCCTTGCACCAAGAACCTCAACACCAGATTACTAGAACTTTATCACTACAATCACTAGTACTATTACCACTACTACTACTACAATAGCCAAAAACTGGATCATTATTATATTATAAGGCATTGACCTTTATGGTTGGGCCAGAAGCTACTGTTGGTACAGAACGCTGCTGCCAGGCTGGTAACAGTTACAGATTACCGACAACATATCATGCCTTTTTAGGAAACTGTACTGTTAATCTGTATGCTGTTGGACCAAGTTTAAGGTCCAGGTACTTTTGTCTAACTCCTAAACAGTAGCATTCTTAAGAGATCCTCCATTCCCCCTACAGGTCTGCTTGGTCACTGCAACCATCTAGAAATACCCTCCTGGTGGTATCCAGGATTTCAGAGGTCAGATCCATGATGACTCATGATAGGGCCTTTAATCTCAAAGTATGCACTTAGAATTCCCAAACACTACATAATAGGCAGGTTCCAAAACTTAGGGTTTTTCATCACCCACTGAAAGTATAACCTTTCCACATCTGGCATTCCTTCTATATGAGGGTTTAGAAAATCCTTTGTATGAGGATTTAGACATTTTTTTCATGCAAGCAATTCATAAATGATGTAGAAAGAAGTGAAATTATCAGATAAATACAGCAGGAGGTGGGGAAGGGAGCAGGTTGCAGCTAAGGTAGAGGAATGCAGAGAGAAGGAAGAACTGGAATGAGGGAGTCATGGCCAACAGAGAAGAAAGCTAATGAAAATCTCCATCAGATAACGAAGAGAGCAATGGAAGAAGTCAAGAAGAAGCACCTGAGATAGAAGAAACAAAAAGTAAAATATTGACAGAGAAAGAAGCATTTATTGTTAAAAGAAGTAGCACTTATTTCTGAAAGCAACATGTCCACCTACCTGCCCAGTAATACTGTCTTAAACAATTTGCCAGATTACCATTTAGCCTTTTATCCTTGTGTTTGCCTAACTTAGATACTTACCCAGCCAGAGTGCAATGTACATGCAATGGCCAAAGGAAGATTTAATTTTAAATTAATGTGTAGAATTAGTAATAACTCTCACAACATAACACTGAGGGATCCACTCCCAAAGGCATAATTTTACATTAATAAATAAAACATTTAAAATATTTTCCCTCCTTTCCTTATAATTCTGAAAAAAATCATTACATTAAGATTTATTAAATCTAAAGGTTCACCAGGGAATAGATACAATTCTTTTAAGGCAAATTCTCTCGACAGGTAGTCAATAGACCATCCCTATTCCAAGTCAGAGGAACACCCTCTAAGAATGTAGGGGGGTAAAATAAGGAAGCTGAGCGCTTAAGGCGAGCGGACCCTCAAAAGCGTGCTACAGTAGTCTTTTCCCTTCCATGAAGATATCCTGCAGAATTACTGTCAACATACTATACCAGCCATCAGCAAAAGAAGGGATGCCATGATTCAGAAATAAAACTTAAACAAGTAGAAAAATAAAACTAGGGGTCTGAGTCATACATAGACAGAGTGAAATCAGTGGAATTTAATTTGTCTAATTGAAGAACAGAAAAATCTGGATCTGTCCCAAAAGACGTAATCAGTTAAACAGCATTAGAATCAAATCCCAAGGTTATTTTGCTTGATCAACAGAGAAAGGAAAGGAGGTGCTCCCCCTTCTTCATGACTTAGTAACAAACTCCAGGATAGCAGTTCCCACGATCTCTGTGGGAACAATGTAGCTCCCGGGGACTGGCTCTTGGAGTATGAAAAGTAGTCTCCAAACAAACTCACCCATGATTCTCTTCCAAACAACAGCAGTGCCTCCAGCTGTACTGTGGTCAGGAAAATCCTTATATAAGCCAATTCTACTATGACTGAGACAGTTGAGGGACGTTGCACATTAGGGGTTGAACCCAGGTTTAAGTGGAAACAGTTGTGCTAGAAAAATGCAATTGCTCAACCCCAACTTTCCACGGCAGCTTGTGCCTCCAGTCCTCTGGAAATGCTACACAGAGCCAAAAGAACCTGCTGAGTAGAGTGACCTGTCATAAAGGACTAGGAGTACCCCAAAATCAGGTGGATGGACCTTCCATGTGCAGAACCTTTCTTCTCACAGAAGGCAGATTCTGGCTTCAACCCCCATTTTCAGGACATATGCTATTATATAATTAAACATTATAACTTATTTGTTTACCAATTTTATATTTCCTGCAGTTTGTAGAGTCCTCTGGATGGTGTACACTAAACATAGGGAAATACTGCAGAACATAAAACTCAGTCGTACATGCAAGTGTACACTCCTAAAGTCTATAATAAAAGCAATGAATGTAATCACCTTTTTGCCCCTCTCTGTTCGGGTGACATGATCAAAGTTACAGACCACAAAAGCAGTTATATAAGTGGACATTTTTGGACTTGTTTCATATGTTGTGACAGTCCAGTTTATGCCTGTGGTCAGGTTTATGTCTGCAGTCTCGTTTATCCATCCACTCGCTGTGCTCTCGTTCACATCCTGATACTCAGATACATCTACAAATATATTAATAATTAGTTAATCAACAGATATTATTAAAGTTACTCTATTATGTACATGAGAGAATGAGTTAAATGCATTTAATGCATGTATTACCAATATTAAACCCTGCAAGTATTCTCCTGTCACACATATACAAACATGCCTGTACTTGCATGCTTGCAAGATTATCAGAAGTGCTATTTTGCTCCTGACAATAATATTTCAGTGTTCCTTGGGTGAACAACAGGGAACATTTAAACCCAGCAGATACACAAACCCTGTAACTCCTCCCCTTCTCCACAGAATATGTTATTATGACAACAGAATCATTATTGGCCTGGAATTTAGGATTTTTCCAAGCCAGGCTGTAGGAACTATAATAGCATCAGAAATATGAACTGTATTATTGTTTCTACTAATAGGATGGGCCCAGCATTATTGTGGGCACCATTGCCTTACTTACCTATTTCTGCCATGTTGGAAAGAGCTACATAGCTCGGATGGTGTACAATACTGATGTTAAAAGTCGCTTTCAGTGCAGGCTCATCAAAGCATGGATAGACATGCCTCGCAGCTGTTGGTTGTAGTTGTGATGCAATCAGCCACCTAAATTGAGGGTGTGAATAGGGATAAATTCAGTCATCTGATCCCAGTATGGTGTGGAAACAGCCTTTCGCATGCAAGTCTCCATAGTGATGCTGCATGCACTGGTCTGCAAGGTCTGTAACCCAATCTAATTAGCTTGATATGCACACATAGAACCCTGAGAAATAAGCTCATCTAAACCAATCAGCTTGGGGGAGTTAAAGAAGAAGAAAACATTAGACATATTAGAAAAGGAACTAGGGGAATGCCAAAAAGAATACTAAATATAAATTACATAAGTAATTCATGGCATAACTTATCAGTAACAATATATTTCTAATGCTAAAGGATTGTATTTGTTTACCATTTCTTCTAGGTCAATAATGTAGTAGATATTGAGAATACATCAATGTATTCTAACAGAAAAAGAAATATTGATTGTATTTTCACTGTTATTTGTATTTCTGAATAATCACTTAGCTGGGTCAACTGGGCAATATACATTTTAACAAATAGTGCTAAATATAACATCAAACAGTATAATACAATAATTACAGCACAACACCATGATTCCAACTACAAATCCACCAAAGCGAAGATTAGATGTGAATTTGGCCCTCTGACCTTGTAAAATCCCTTTGAAAGAAGAGAATAGATGACAAGGGCATTGTGAAGCAGAAGGCAGATTGTTTAGCAAGCTTTCAAATAAAAAGAATGCTCACCATGATGCAGACAAATAGAAAATATTTTGCTCATAAAGCTTCAGAATGTATTTGTTTAGAAGAGGACAGAAAACAAACTGAATTCCAATTCCACTTTATTTGGCATACCAGACCAGATGTATGTGGCTTAAAACAGGCCAAATAGAATGTTATTTTCCCAAACATCAGCTTTGCATAACAACAGTACTAATTAATCCTTTTCAATAATGGTATATACTGGTTATAAATTCTATTGGAAACAAACAATTTCTGTAAGCTAAGAAAACCCCTGCACTGCCAGTATTATAATCTTGTTATTAGCAATAAGCTCACTTCATATCCTCTGTATAGCCTTAAGTGCCTGATCCTGCTTAATTTTGAAAGCTAATTAGGGTCAGGCCTCATTGAAAACTGGATGGGTGACTTAAATGTGATGAACTGCCCAGACAGCTTCAGCTATGGGTGGTATAAAAATGTAAGGTAATGTGATAATATCAACAACAATAACTGAGACAGGTTTGGATATAAGCTCATTCACATTAAACTATTTAATTCACATTAAACAAACTATGTTTTAACATGACATACAAAAAGTCCTGGGATGCAGGGAATTCATAACTGGATCTCACAGCATATTTTCTCCTCCTATGAACAGTAGTAGGGGACTTGCTGGTTTGGGGCTGGGATGTATTTTTCTTTGTGCCAACCTCTTGAATCCAATCTCAGTCTGACATACTTCACAGGCTAGTGAAAATGGTGTAGGGCAAAACCATACCGTAACAAGTGATTCGGAAAGTTTGGTAACGGGTTGAGGAACTGCAGTTAAGACATAGGCCCCTGCCCATAACAGAATCAGGATGAATAAAGATTAAGGGTACTCCTGGCCCAGTCTGGAACATAAGGCAAATGGGGCATAGTGGCAGCTGCACTACCTAGGAATAATTACTTATTCATTAATATTGGACATACTTCCAAGTAACAGTGCTCACGGCATCTATCACTGCAATCTTAAGAAATGTGAGAACTGAGGCAGCAAGTGTGATAGGGAAAAGTTACAGGGCTTGCGTATCAGCTGGACCATGCAGATTTTTCTGCTGAATGAGAGTTCTAACAAATACTTGATTCCAACCATTGAGCACTGTGGCTCAGTGGGTAAGATGCTAAGCTTGTCAGTCGGAAGAGCAACAGTTCGACAGCTCAAATCCCTAGCGCCGCGTAACAGAGTGAGCTCCCATTACTTGCCCCAGCTTCTGCCAACCTAGCAGTCCAAAAGCATGCAAATGCAAATAGATGAATAGGTACCACGTCCATGGGAAGGCAACAGCGTTCTGTGTGAGAAAGTGTCTAGTCATGCCAGCCTCATGACCATGAAAGCATCCTAGGACAACACTGGCTCTTTGGCTTGTAACAGAGATCAGCACCGCCCCTAGAGCCAGATACGACCAGCACGCATGTGCGAGGGGAAACTTACCTTACCCTACTGTTGAGCCAACGAGTGTTGAAATATTGCTGGATAGTTGCTGTTGTTGTTAGTCACAAAGTCATGTCCGACCCATTGCGACCCCATGGACAACATTCCTCCAGGCCTTCCTGTCCTCCACCATCCCCCGGAGTCCACTTAAGCTCACACCAACTGCCTCAGTGACTCCATCTAGCCACCTCATCCTCTGCCATCCCCTTCTTCTTTTGCCACTAACTGAATAGTTAGATAAATACTAATGCTGGATATTTTCCCTTTTGGTTGCATCTGACAGCTATGAAAAGGCAAGCCATCTGACAGTATCTGTATATTTCCTATACCTACCTGCACTTCTGTGGGGCAAAGCCCAGGGTAGTTACTTGTTAGACCTTGCCAGCAAGCATTCCCCTGAATGTCGCGCACATGAAGCTCCCCATTCCTGTACCCATACAACTAGAAATGTCCACAGTTGTACATGTGTGTGCAAAACTTATAAATAATAATAATACAACTATTTGTGAAAATTAGGACAGACATTTAAAACATGATTGACAGCCACGCCAACTTGTAACTAGGAAGAGGCTCCAAACTAGCCTTTTGAAGGGAGCATCTATAGCTGTCAAGTGGAGATTATAAAAATCAAAAGGAAAGAAGCCAACACAGTCAAAATGACTCATGATTGCAGCAAGTACCATCCATTCCCAAGAGTGCAGCTTGGGCTTTTGGGGCAGCTGGCACTGTTGGGGCATGTTTGGCAAGAGCTGTTTGCTGCTCTTGCCAAGTGAGTCAATAGCTGATCTTCAGTAGCCACAATGGGTCCTGTCTTCTGAGTTTGGATGACATAACAATCCATCATGGGTACAACAACCCTCCACCACAATCCATGGGATGCCAGGGGGGTTGATACCCTCCAAAAGACCACACTTCGGAGGATTAGTTTGGGTTCACACAACACAACCAATGATGTTATGCAAATTAAGTCAAAGAAAGGGCCTGTACTGCCTAATGGGGCGGCATATAAGTGTGCTAAATAAATAAATAAGTCTCCTTCAGGTGAGCACTAGCAATTATCATATCCAATTTGGCACAAAGACTGGCAAAGGTTGTTTAGGCTCACCTACGGGGCAGAAAGAAACTAAACAAGGGAAGATACTTCTTTAGCTGAGTACCAGCAGGAAGCCTTAGGACTCCACCAGAGACTGTTTAACCCCTTTCTCCCAGGCAGTCCTACGGCTAGGGCTGGACTTCAAGACCAAAGTCCAAGCCCTGGCCAAACACCCACACAGAGAGCAACAGGTCATGGGGCGGGGGCACAGCTGCCCTAAATTGGCAATGGGCCTATACTGGTTGACACGGATGGCTGAAGCATGCAAGTGTGTGTGTGTATATAGCATGACTGTAGTACCAGGGGCTTATTTTATTATTTTTCCTTTAAAAATATGGCATCCCTTTCTTACTCGGATGTAAATGTGGAGCAGCAAAAGGCAACCTTCATTTTGTAACTGTAGTTGCAACAGGGCTATGAATTAAGGGAGCCTATAATGTTAAGCTGTGCATGCCCAAGGTGTTTCTTTCCTAAGCAATTTGGCAAACTTGTTTTTGTTCTAATATATTTCGATAAAATGTAAAACAACGGTAAAATACGGGACGTTGCGGAAGGGAAGAACGGTGCGCTTCGCAAACGAATATGGCTATCCAAAAGGGGCTCCCGCACGTCTAGTCTACGTTTTCTAGTCCCCCACACCATGGAAGGGGAGAGCCACGAGCAGCCTCCTACCTGCTCTCTCCTTCGTCCTCGTACGTGTTGAGGAAGAGCCCGTCATACTCGTGCGGGCCGAGGATCGTGCCCTGGAAGGCGAGCTGCACCTCGTAGAGGGCGCCCGCGCTCAGGTTCTCGCGCAGCTCCAGCACCACGTACTCGTTCTGGGGCGCTGGCCACAGCTCGGCCACGGGGACGCTGCGGCGGCTGCCGTTGGCGCCCGGGCCCCAGACGGCGGCGCTCCGGTAGGTGAGGTCGGCGCTGTGCAGCAGCACCGTGGCCGTGGCCTGGCGGCAGCGCACCGTGATGTTCACGCGGCCCGAGTGCGTGCGCGGCTCGGGCAGGCCGGGCGCCAGGTGGGGCCACAGCAGCAGCGAGTAGTGCGCGGGCGCCAGGTGCGCGGGCAGGCGCCACTCGTCCCATGGCCCCGGCGGCCGCGCGGGCGGCGCGGCGCTGGCATTAGGGCTGCCGCTAGCGCAGGGCGGCGGAGGGCGCGCCTCGGCGTTCTGCCGCAGCCGGGCGTCCTGCAGCCCATGCGCGCAGCGGCCGTAGAGGATCCCCAGCACGAGCAGCGCCAGGAGTAAGGTGGCCAGCAGCAGTGCTAGCAGCCCGGAGGACTTCTTGCCCAAGTAGAAGCCCGAGCGCAGCTTGACGCCCATTTTGGCCCCTGCCTCTGTGCCGCGCACGCAAGCGGACAGCGGGTTGGAAGAGACGACGGCACAGTGGCAGGGCCTGAAGATGGTGCGGCGGAGGAAAGAGGGAGTCGCTGTCTGTGGAAGAAACCCGCAGCGGCCGGGCAAAAGCAGCACACCCGCCGCTCAGCCTCGGAGTCAGGCTGCAGCCAAACAAATAGTCGGCCGATGCCAGAACGTAGCACACACCCTCGGCCGCCGCAGCCTCCCCACCCGCCCCGCTCTTAAGCCCCTCCAGCACCTGACGGTGAGGCGAAAGGCTTTTCCCTTTCCCTGGTAAATTTCGTCTGGTTGATTTATTCCATCTGTTGTTAGCCCAGCAGCAAAGCCAATTCGGGAAACTCCAAGCGGAGGTCGATGACAGATTTTTATCCACGCTTCGCTGAAGGAAGTGTCTCATTTTACCTCGGAAGCCTCTTCACTGCAAGGGGCAACGAATGTTCTAATTTCTCCTCATCAGCATTTTTTGTATTCATTATCTTAATCTCTTGATTTTTGTGTGGATATTCTCTGAAATATGTTTTGTGGTCATGCTCTTAAACTTTATGGGCCTCAGTTTTCAGATTCTGTGAAATGGGCCAGTAGAGATTAACAAGACTGCTTCCCCTGTTAGTGACTCCTCGTTCTTCTCTGGTGTTCCTGCCCTTTTGCTCCAGCCACCACTCACTAACACTGAAGTAAGTAGGGCTTGCCAGCACTTTCACTCATGTTTCAGTAGACTGCTTGGAAGCAATCTTTCAAGATAATTGACAACTTAAGAAATTGTTATTTTAGGAAAAGCTTGTTTGGGGGCAGCAAACCAAGCGTGGGGAAAGAGACTGCAAAATGATCTTGCCTAATATGTACAAGCAAGTTCTGATCTAGCAAAATCTACCTAATCAAAATCTACCTAATTTACTTATTTTATTATGTAGCTTTGGGATGGGAAAAGACTAAGATAATGTGTATGTAGTTGCCAGTTCCAAAGCATGAGCAAATTAATGCTCAAATGAAAGATACGTCTCATTGTTGCTGGACATGCCAAATTGTCCCCTTGCATTTGTGTTGACCCTGGCAAAGAGTTGTCCAAACCCATTATTTTAGTCCAGAACAGTTACTGAGGCTATCTTAGAACCATTGCCTCATTTCTTTCAATTTTTAAACACTGGGATCTTTTATCTTTGAGGTTTTTGCTGGTACTATGGCCCAGCTGTGAAGAGGACTGATTCCATAATGGAAGTCACAACAAGAGTTGAGCAAGGCTGTCAAGGACCGGACATTTTGGAGAGCAGTCATTCACAGGGCAGCCAAATCTAAAGAGCATTGCTTGTCCTTCCACATCTTAATGTCACATATCGATTATAGCCTTTCAAGAGCCTCTTCTATGGATTTTTGTCCCTCTCCTTTGTAGCTTGGATGTACCTTACATACGTACATAAACTAGCTCAGCAACCTAAGTGTGCCACTTCTGCACTATTGCAGGCAAAATTGCCAGGCTACCTTGGTTTGTTTGTTGTTGTTGTTTAGTCACAAGATCATGTCCGACCCATCATGACCCCATAGACAACATTCCTTCAGGCTCTCCTGTCCTCTACCATCCCAAGCCCACACTCACTGCCCGAGTGACCCCATCCAGCCACCTCATCTTCTGTCGACCCTTTCTCTGTCAATCATGCCCAGCATCAGGGTCTTCTCCAGGGAGTCCTTCCTTCTCATTAGGAGGCTTAATAAGTTTCATCTTCAGTATCTGGCCTTCTAAGAGCGGTCAGAGTTGATCTCCTCTAGGACTGACCAGTTTCATCGCCTTGCAGTCCAAGGGACTCGCAAGTGTCTCCTCCAGCACTACAATTCAAAGGCCTCAATTCTTTGGCACTCAGCCTTCCTTATGGTCCAACTATCACAGCCATACATTGCAACTAGGAAAACCTTAGCTTTGGCTATATGAACTTTTGTCCTCAGGGTGATGTTTCTGCTTTCTAGTATGCTGTCTAGATTCGCCATAGCTTTCCTCCCCAGGAGCAGGTGTCTTTTAATTTCTTGGCTGCAGTCCCCGTCTGCGGTGATCTTGGAGCCCAAGAGAATAAAATCTGTCACTACCTCCATTGCTTTCCCGTCTGTTTGCCAGGAAGTGATAGCACTGGATGCCATGATCTTAGTTTTCTTAATGTTGAGTTTCAAGCCAAATTTTGCGCTCTTTTCTCTCATCTGCATCAAGAGGCTCTTTAGTTCTTCTTCATTTTCTGCCTTTGCAGTGGTATTGTCTGCATATCTGAGGTTGTTGATATTTTTCCAGGCAATCTTAATTCCAATTTGTGATTCATTCAGTCCGGCCTTTCGTATGATCTGTTCTGCGTATAAGTTAAATAGGAAGGGGAACCATATACAGCCTTGTCGTACAGCTTACCCAAATATGAACCACTGAGTAGTTCCATGTCCAGTTCTCACTGTTGCTTCTTGACCCACATACAGATTTCTCAAGAGACAAATAAGATGGTCTGGTACTCTCATCTCTTTAAGTACTTGCCACAATTTGTTGTGATCACACAATCAAAGGCTTTAGCATAGTCAATGAAGCAGAAGTAGATGTTTTTCTGGAATCTCTAGCTTTCTCCATGATCCAGCACATGTTGGCAATTTGATCTCTAGTTCCCCGGCCTCTTCAAAACCCTGCCTGTACTTCTGGTACTTCTCAGTCTACATACTGCTGGAGCCTAGCTTGTGGGATTTTGAGCATAACTTTGCTGGCATGTGAAATGAGCACAATGGTATGGTTGTTTGAACATTTGTTGGCATTGCCCTTCTTTGGGATTGGAATGTAAACTGACTTTTTCCAATCCTGTGGCCACTGCTGAGATTTCCAAATTTGCTGGCATGTTGAATGTAGCACTTTAACTGCATCGTCTTTTAGGATTTTGAATAGCTCAGCTGGAATACTGTCGCCTCCACTAGCTTTGTTGTTGCTCAGACTTCCTAAGGCCCATTTGACTTCACATTCCAGGATGTCTGGCACAAGGTCAGCGACCACCACATCGTGGTTATCAGGGACATTAAGCTCTTTCTTGTATAGTTCTTCTGTGTAATCTTGCCACCGCTTCTTAATCTCCTCTGCTTCTGTTAGGTCTCTGCCATTTTGGTCCTTTATCATGCCTGTCTTTGCATGAAACTTTCATATCTCAAATTTTCTTGAAGAGATCTCTAGTCTTTCCCATTCTATTCTTTTCCTCTATTTCTTTGCACTGTTCATTTAAAAAAGGCATTCTTATCTCTTCTAGCTATTCTCTGGAATTCTGCATTCAGTTGGGTGTATCTTTCCTTTTCTCCCTTGCCTTTTGCTTCCCTTCTTTCCTCAGCTATTTGTAAAGCTTCCTCAGACAGCCATTTTGCTTTCTTGCATTTCTTTTTCTTCAGGATGGTTTCAGTTGCTACCTCTTGTACAATGTTGCTAACCTCCATCCATAGTTCTTCAGGCATTCTGTCTATCAGATCTAATTCCTTAAATCTATTTGTCACCTCCACTGTATATTCATAAGGAATATGATTTAGGTCATATCTGAGTAGCCTAGTGGTTTCCCCTACTTCCTTCAATGTAAGCCTGACTTTTGCAACAAGAAGCTCATGAACTGAGCCACAGTCAGCTCCTGGTCTTGTTTTTACTGACTGTATAGAGCTTCTCCATCTGTGGCTGCAGAGCACATAGTCAATCTGATTTCTGTGTTGACCATCTGGTGATGTCCATGTGTAGAATCGTCTCTTGGGTTGTTGGGAAAGAGTGTTTGCTATGACTAGCGTGTTCACTTGACAAAAGTCTGCCAGATTTTGCCCTGCTTCATTTTGTAGTCCAAGGCCAAGCTTGCCTGTTATTCCAGTTATCTTTTGACTTCTTGCTTTAGCATTCCAATCCCCCATAATGATAAGGACATAATTTTTTTGGTGTATTTTCTAGAAGGTGTTGTAGGCCTTCATAGAACCGGTCAACTTCAGCCTCTTCAGCACCAGTGGTTGGGGCATAGACTTGGACTACTGTGATGTGGAATGGTTTGCCTTGGATTCAAACTGAGATCTTTCTGTCATTTTGGAGATTGTATCCCAGTACTGCTTTTCCGACTTTTTTATTGACTGTGATGGCCAATCCATTTCTTCTGAGGGATTCTTGCCCACAGTAGTATACCTGTTGGTCATCTGAATTAAATTCACCCATTCCTGTCCATTTAAGTTTGCGGATTCCTAAGAGGTTGATGTTCAGTCTTGTCATCTCATGTTTGACCACGTCTAGCTTACCTTGACTTATAGATCTTACATTCCAGGTGCCTATGGAGCATAAATCTTTACAGCATCGGACTTTCCTTTCACCACCAGATACATCTGCAACTGAGTGTCCATTCGGCTTTGACCCAGTCGCTTCATTCTTTCTGTCGCTACTAGTACTAGTCCTCTGTTCTTCCCCAGTAGCACATGGGACACCTTCCGACCCAAGGGGCTCATCTTCCGGCGTCCTATCTTTTTTCCTTTTGGTACTGTCCATGGGGTTTTCATGGCAAGGATATTGGAGTGGGTTGCCATTTCCTTCTCCAGTGGATCACCTTTTGTCAGAGCTCTCTGCTATGACCTTCCATCTTGGGTGCCCCTGCATAGCATGGTTCATAGCTTCATTGCGCTACACAAGCCCCTTCGTCATGGCAAGGCAGTGATCCATGAAGGGGTATCTTGGTTTAGGCAGGAGCAAAGTCAGTCCAGGATTCTTTTAGATCAACATTTTACCATGTTCAAGACTTAGTAAAATGTAGATACATAATTCACTCTGCCACCATTTTTAGTGACGAAAAGTCTCTGGTAACCCAAGTGTACTTCTGCTATCATATATGAGAAAAACAGCAGGGGTATTATCTTTGCCATCTTCCCCCAGAGCATCTTGCTCTTTATACTTAGAAACAGTGCTGATTCAGGATGCATCTTGGAGCTGCAGCCTTTTCATTCTAAACCTGCATAGA